AGTGAGGTTAAATATATCATGGAAAATTTCCCCTCTGATAAATAGTAGGGAATTTTGTTTCTCGTGTAGTGTCTTTATCAGAATTATAATAAACTACAATTTCGTTGCGTATGCAATCGTGTATATTTACTGCGCCACAGTCACGTGACGCCGTTCTGGCTCAGAACACCCTCTTGCACTTAAAATTTGTAAAATAAAGATTGTGAAATCCTATTTCCACGGTATTACTGATCGAACGTTTTATGGATTTGCGAAATTATTTTAATATATTTTAAGTGTCTTGACACTAGCTCCGCTATCAGCATATTGTAAACTCCATTGTTTGAATTTTTTTTTCACAAATAACATATGAATTTCCTGATCAGTAAGAATCACTGTATAACATTAATTATTTATTGCAATAGCGAGTCGCCATATTCCACGAATTCGTGCATATGATACATTATGCGAAGCATGGGCAAGGCCCTATATTTTATAGCTAGAATCAGTAATGCATTTGCTGTACCCTTGGTTCGGGTGATAAGCATGTTTTACCTGACCTTAATCTTCTAAACATTTGTATACACAGAAAAAAATTTTTAAAATCGGATATATGCTATTATAAATTATGTATCAAAGACACTAGCTCCACCATTAGTTACACTAAACGTAATGTGATATAAATCATGCAAAACATCCAATATATGAACTTTTGTAGGTTTTTTTTCCGCTATTTAGGTCGTAATAATATCCCGCTTCACTCTCATCTTCGGAACATGTGAAATCTATATCTTCTAGTATAGTTTTTTCAATCTCTTTACGTATCTCAATCTCCGATAAAGATTTAGTTGCAATAGCATCCTCGCTTCGTGAGACTTCTTCACTTACCTCTAGCAAAATTTTTTCAACCTCTTCGAGTATCTCAACCTCCTGTAAAGATTTAACTTCCTCACTTATCTTATCTTCTGAATTGCTGGAAGCAGTCACGGAGCTAGAGGTATGGGATAATGGGATAGAGGGGGTGGTTGTAATATTTACCTCCGTTTCGGGCAAAGTTTTAGATACAATAGCATCCTCACTTGTCTTATATTCCGAATTAGAGAAGTGAGACATTGGGATAGAGGGAGTAGTTGGAGTGCATTTGATCAATTTTTTCATCTAATTCATTATTTATTTTTGTACTTCCGTTAGTATAATTAAGTACATAATCTATAATATTCTGAATTTGATCATTTGTAAGTCGAGAAATAGCATCTGCACTATATGTAACTTGCCATATTTTTTCTACTCCTACTGTATCAAATAACTTATATATCTTTCTAGATTTTGATAATTTTAGACACAAATTTCCGTCAGTGATATCTGGTAGAAGCTGTTTGATTTCTCGGTATATCATAGATGTTGCAGTTTTTCTTTTAATGCACTTGACAACTAATTCATCAATTTTATTATCATATTTCTTTGCAAAATAATGCCAATAAAATATTCCTTTTTGACCAGACTGAATAGCTTTATAGAATATATAAACAATACTTTCTGCTGTAATAGCATCTCCATTTCTAGATAATATAATACTTTGAGCCTTTTCATTATACGAGACTTCAATAGATGATATACAATCTAATTATTTTGTAGAAGTTAATTGTTGTTTTAACTCATATTCCACAAAATCTGAATTACATGACTCTGATCGTGAACATTTTGTTAACGGTTCTGAATCACATGACTTCTCCGATTGCATAATGGTTTTTATGTCATATGATAAAGTGGGTTGCTCTAATAAATTACCAGAGGCAGACACAGAGTGGCTATTATCCAAAGATAAGTTTTGATCCCAAAGTTTCTTTTCCCTAATCCTCTCCATTATCTCTCTACTGACCTGTTCCTTATACGTTGAATTCAGGAATTCATCTTCTTCCTTTTCTTTTAACGATTTTAGCTCCGTATGTATAGGTAATGCAAAATATTGGTGTGAGCCTACCTTCATCTGAGACAAAGGTTCCAGACATACATCAGAATTTGAAACGTTATCAGTTATATCAGATGCGGGAGTATCATCTTCTAACGATCTGGTGTTAGTATCGGCAGAGCTGACATGGTCGATGTACTTGTTTATTACAGAATCAGGTACATTAATATCTTTCTCAGAAGAACTATCATCATTTTCTAACTTAACTACGGTATTGTTTTGATTCTGTTCCAATTTTACAAATCGTTTTTCACTTGACCGTTCTAGTTCTATGATTCTAGTATTGAGCTCGGTATCTCTTAATTTCGCTTTTTTAGTAATTTGTTCTAATTCCATTATTCTAGTCATAAACCCTGCTTCCTTAGCTAAGAATTCAGCCTTCTCCTTTTTAAGTTCAGTAATCTCAGCCACAAGCTTGAAATTCTGTTCTTCAAGCAAATCAATTTTGAATTACGAGTTTGTCATTTTTTATATAAAATGCAGATTATTCAAAAGCTTGTTTATTAATACAATTCATATATATAATAAGGCATATGATACAAAACCATTCTTCAAGGGAATAATCAGAGATATATGAGATTATATACATTGGCAAATATATCGAAAAATAAATCCCAAAATATACATATAAAACTAAATACGATTAATTATACAAAATCAACCACCAGAGCAAACTTTATTGATATAATAAAAAATACATGATAAAATACATGATATCTGGTCCTTTAGGGGTACCTCTCTGAGGCATATACGAAGAAAAATATATAATAAATAAAAAACTAATTATTATCGTGTAATGGAGTTGAAACTGTGGTACTATCTTCTTTCTGCCTTTCTGATATAGTTACTGATGCATGATATAGCAAAGATAGATTAGTGATTATTAAATTACGCAAAAGTAATAAAGTTTCTATAAATTTATATACAACCCTTTCATCTGAAAATTGTATCGGGATTTCAGCAGACTGGAGGTAATAATATTGATGTATATTAACCATATCTCGAACAAGTAAATTTAAATATAACTCATTACCTACGATTTGTACACCTTCAATATCAAATTGATCCTTATCTAGTTTAAGAGTTTGACGTACCCAAAAAAGTCCATCATTACATTCTCTCCATAATTTAACATTATCATCAATCTTTTTTTGAGTGGTACAAATTAAGTGGGAACATTCAACATACATAAGTTCAAAAATTGTTTCCCAGTATTTTACCACAAACATTATATCTGAACGTCTCCCCATAAATCCATTCCCTTTTCTGTTAGCACTGGCAACATTTTGTTTTTCCGATGTACTAATGAAAAAGGAATCATCAATAGGAAGATTTTTTAACGAAGCTCAAATTACTGGTAATATGATAGTTGATTGATATGTCCTCTCATTTAATGTTTTTGCAAATTCAGAACTGAAAGTGAAATTGTTCCAAATATCTTTTAAAACACTAAGAATTTCTTTAGTT